TGTAACAGCATTAATCAATTTTTCTCTGAAATAATGGGCTAGGCCATAATTTATTATATAGGAAGCTTTATCTGGACCCAATTGAAATTGCATGGCTATAGCACTGTCAGGAAACATTTTTTTGAAAATGTTTTTAATATCAGAGCATGAATTGAGTGACATCTTTTTCTTTACAACTGCCAATGCCCAAGTTATCTCTGCTTTTATTACATCATCTTTTATCACAAAAGGTGTCAATGTGCTGCTAAGAAATGTTGATTTGGTGAGAGACTGTTTGTTAGTGATCTTAGATCTATCTTCCACAACAGAAGCCGTTTCACACACATTTTGTTGACTATCAGAAGAGTTTGAATTTGTTGGGGTTAAAAACCTTATCAGTGAAGTTTGTTCCGACTTCAATCTTTTTATTTCAACATGACTAGAACTATTTACATGTGATTCTAATGTATGCTTTCCCATATTACTTAATGAGAAAACTTTACAACAAATGCAGCAAAATGCTTTTGTATCATCATCTTTTACAATTCCTAACCAGGAATTGAATTCTGGATGAATAGCTGGATCCAACCATTGGAGATTAAACCTCGTTTGTTTCCATGCCATTATAATTTAAGAATGTAGAAAAACACAAACCTTGAATAATAATATTAAAAGACAGATGAACCAGATCAGATAGCAATGTGTAAGATGTTTTGTCACAACAGTATGTAAAATATTCAAATGACATACAATCCGCATCTGCATATATATTAATTAATAGTAGTGTTGCCAACTCAAAATTCAAATTTACAGCTTGTCTAGCTGTAAATTTTTATTAAATTACAGATTTTTACTGATCTATTTAGCTATTTTGAAGTGAACATTCTAATAAATTACAATTTCAACTTTTAAAAGTTTGCAAACAAATTTTTAATTAGTTATTTTTTATTTTAATTAACAATTTCATCTTTTTACAATCACTGAATTATTAAAATTAAAAGCTATTACATAAAAGTAGTTTATCCAGTTATTAATCCACAACTGGTGTATTTTCTTATTAAAGATTGCATTTACTTCTTGCCGCCTGCAGATGGCTAAGATTGGTCATCCATATTCAGCAAACAAGATCAACAAGGCAGCTAAGGAGACAAATTACCTGACTTTTTCTGAACACTAATGAAAATCCCTGATTTTCCAGGTTCCTAGGAACCCTGTTTGTATCTGAAAACTTTATTATTTTTTTCAATAAAGTAGTATTTGTGAAATCTCTGATTATCTGAACTTGGTACACTTTTCATCATTTAAAAAAAAATTATGTCAAATTCTCAGTATTAATTAACTGTATCTACAAAAGATTGATATTTTTAGCTAAATTTAGCCAAAAAATATTGATCACTAGCCTAGTTTAAAATATTAGGTTGTTCAAAAAGTAAGTTCACTTTTTTTACCACTAGACGGATTAGTTATATTTTTCCCGCCATTTTTATTCTAAATCATATTATCATTATATATTTTGACAGCTAGCATTTTAAGGCTTATTTGTAAAAAATTTTGCTTGATTTTGTGCAATTGTTTATTTTTTGTCCCCCATCAAATATGGAAGATCGAAAGCATCATTTTCGGCATATTTTGCTTTTTTATTACCAAAAAATCAAAATGCTGTTCAAGCAAGAAAAAAATTGTGGTACATGTATGGAGATGATGTGTTGAGAAAAAGACAGTGCCAAAACTGGTTTGCAAAATTTCATTCTGACAATTTTAATATTGAAGATGCACCATGTTCTGGATGGTCAGCTGAAACCAATGAAAACAAAATAAAGGTATTGATTGAAGCAAACTGCCGAATAACAACACGTGAAATCACTAAGAGATTAAATTTGTCAAATTGAACTGTTTATGATTACTTGAAACAAATTGGTTTCGTTTCAAAGCTTGATATATGGGTTCCACATGTTCTTAAAGAGAGATGCTCTCTTTGGTGGGATTTTAAGGAAATTTTTTTTTGGAGCTTTTACCAGACAATTTAACAATTGATTCGAAAGTGTACTGCCATCAAGTAAACAAATTGAGTAATATCATCAAACAGAAAAGGCGGCCAGAATTGATCAACAAAACAGGTGTAGTGTTTTACCACGATAATGTCAAATTTCACACAAGTTTGGTAACTTATCAGAAGCTGTTATAACTTAGATGGGACATGCTATCACACCAACCGTATTCGCCAGATCGAGCAAACTCAGATTATTACTTGTTCCAGTCTATACAAATATCTTTTAACTGTAAGACATTTACTTGAAATGACAATGTCAAAAATCACTTGGATCAGTTTTTTGTAAGCAACGATCAAAACTTTTATGAATGTGAAATCATGCTACTACCAGAAACGATGACAATAGGTATTTGACCAAAATGGTCGATATATAATTCAATAAAATATTTATTTATTATAAAAATGTTGTTTTTCTTCCATGGAAAAAAAAATGAACTTACTTTCCGAGCAACCCAATATAAATGTATATTTCAGAATATAATCAAACAAACCATTTTGCAATGTTATCATTTGAGATTCTTTTCCTGTGCCATAAGGATAACCTCTGCTCAATCCGGGTGTTTGACCTGTAATGATATGTTTTTTCATTACTTTTCATTGTATTATTTATTTTTGTTAATGTCCAATTTTATTTTAACATAATGTCCAATTTCACAATATAAAATTTTTATATTTTATTCTATCTTTTACAAACCTTCTGAAGTAACATGTTGTCCTATTGCCCTTGCTCCTCCATGACTATTTTCTTCAAACTGTATTTCAGATATAATGATATTATCTTCAAGCACTGATCCACATTGTGTACAAACTGCATCTCCTCTTCCAGGATCAGTATCTATTTCATTACAACCGCAATGCTGACAATTTCTAGTAGACATACTGATATTTTCCAAAAACTAACAAATACACAATTTTAATCTAAAATTAAACAATACATATATGTGTAAAAAAAATGTTCTACTATATAACACTCAAAGTTTTAAATATTTTTTGTTTATTCAAAATCATTAAAAATATACATTTACTATAAAGAGGAAAAAAAAACTAATTTGATGCAATATATTGAGTTTTATTAAGTATTTGTGTTTCTCTAAATTATTTTCAGTTTAGGGAAAAGACAATACTGTATTTTACAGACTATAAGACGCTACGGCCTCTAAGATGCACCTTAATTTTTAAGCAATTTTTTAAAAATATATTATTTTTACTATTTTTACTGCCTAAATTCAATCCTTTTATACGGTGTTACCAATAATACAAATCACTTTTAATTCAAGTTCACTGGCACCGTAGACTGCAATGATCATAGGCTAGACAGTGTTCTGGATTTGTGATGGCGGGGTGGGAGGGAGTCAGTGTTAGCAAGCTTAGGAATCCCTGCAACTCGTTCGTCGCATCGGTGCACTGCTGCNTTTTTAAGCAATTTTTTAAAAATATATTATTTTTACTATTTTTACTGCCTAAATTCAATCCTTTTATACGGATTGAAGCAAATGCTGATCCACCAATCAACACTTAGTAGCACTATCGGACGCCCGCTGATCATACGATGGTCGCACGATGATCGCTGGTCAATCTGTGGTCATGGATTCAGAACCATGACCACAGATTATAGTACGTATAATACAGTAATTACTGAATTTAATAAAATCAGAATAACCATTTATGTCTATTCTTTCATCATATTTCAATTACATTTATTAAAACAATAAATTTTTCATTAGCAGCTCTAATGTTTTCTCCAAAATCAATAAAAAAATATATGACTGAATGCAGTCTGGGACCAGTATAGCATAATTTTACTTATTGAAATTTATGAACTTATTTCTTTTCCCCCATTTTTGACTCTCCATCCTGTGGGCACTAAGTTTTTTTCGATGCCCATCATCAGTTCAGCCAGGCCCACAAGCATAATTGACAGGTGGAGAATGAGAACTAACATATGGGAGACAAACCACCTACGAAAGGGGGACCTTATGAAGAGTATTCTTTATTCACAAAAAAGTTTAAATGTAAGTTTAATTTCAATTGGAGAAAATATTTCTTTGTGAGATAATTTTAAATGTAAAAATATTTAATAATGAAATATATTTAACAGTGAATTAAAATATGATGTATTTTCAATTGTCATGCTACGGTATATCCCGGGAAGTAATGGTATGTTTCTAACTATAATAATATAGAATACTGTGTGATATAAGAAACATATCTCTGTTTTTATTACGTAGCCGACAGAAGAGGGGCTTGAGCCCAGAACGCGTCTCGGCAAATAAAAAATAAAAGTTGATGACAGAATTGCCTAGTGTCTGTATAAGCACCTAATAGTGATAACAAATTATTCAAATAAAGGAAGACACAGTTTCAGAATATATTACAACAAATAATAATAATAATAATAAAAGGATAAAAGATCAACACATAACATAATTAAAAAATTACCTATTCTGACAGCATTCGTGATATGACGAACAGTTTTAAAATATCCAGAGTATTTCGATTTTCAAATTCACATAGGTTAGTAAAGCATGGGAAGATGTATACTGTATAAGCTAAATTATGACCTTATCAAGGAAAAATTAAGGTTTCATAATATCGTTTATATCGCATTATGTTATCTTATTACGTTCATATCCAACAACGTAGTCTTAATTAACTAAGAACAACCGAAACATCCGTCATTCTATCAACCATATTTAATACAGCGTGCTATTCAGTGTTGCCAGATGGGAAAGCTTCTTCTTCTCTTCCTCACGGTTTACATTGAGATACAGTATTAAAAAGCTGTTTATATCGTATTTTATCGTAATACATTATTATGATTTTTATTTGATTGTATAGAAAAATATAAAGTGAAAACAAATTATAAACTGAAACAAAATTAAAGTTTTCGTTAAAATCTTCAATTCCAGTTCTTCCCTGGTAATTTTGTATTCAGCATATTTTTGATTTTGCACTTCGAACATGATGCACGCAATAAACAAGTGATTAAAATCTTCTAATTAACAGTATTTTTCGTCTGTAAGACTCATATTTTTGTACCTAAAATCTATCTAAAAATTAGGATGTATCCTATCAGCCGAATGCATTTTATACTGCAAAGAATATTTTTTCCCAAAAAATCGACATGAAAAATGTGATGCGTCCAATACAGTGCGTAGTGGTGGATCTTATAAAGCGAAAAATACGGTGATCACGCTGCACGGTAATAAACGCTCATTTGCACGCTCACATTTAATGTAGGGAGTCCAAATAGATGACGTTCGTTCACTCTTTTTACCCTATGGGTACTAAGAAGGTCTTTTTAACGAGCCAATCGTAGGTTCGGCCAGGGCCACAATGGGACGGTCTGATGGTAAGGGATAGGTCCTAACATAACTGGGGTTCAGAGATGTGACCGCCACGCAAAAAATTGTTGGAGTTTCTCAATCTGTCCGGATTTGTTCTCGGATCCATCAAAGCAGTAGACTGATGTCTTAACCGCTCAGCCATCTGACCTACTCTCATGAACTAGTGAGTTACAACAATCAACACCATTGTACGCTGTCAGTAATGTTAGACTACCTTTACTTCATACAAAAGATCATGGAGTAAGTATACTTACTCCATGCAGAAGATAGATTAATTTTGTTCTTTATTTATTTTTCTGATGGTGTATTTGAAGATACACTATTGAATAAATAATTAAAAATGTGTAAACATTATTAAAAGTCTTGAGATATTAAATCTTGTCAAATTATCGCATATTTTGTCATTATCGTATAAGTACTATCCTATATCGCACTTAATGCGTTGTCGTATGTGTGTATAAATGTGTATATCATACAAAATAATGGTATATATAATAGACTACTAGTTGTTCCCGCGAGAATTAGCCACACGTTTAAAAAACAAAAATATTATATGCAAAAATAAGTTATTATTTGGGAAATTATTGCAATGGAAACTGGAACAGGGAATCTTATTGGAGCGAACCTTTGTGACCAGGTCAGTCGCGAATATAAATAGCTTTTGCGATTCTCTTTGATTTCTATTAGTGATGTAACGAATATTCGGTTACTATTCGGTATTCGGCTTATTCAGCCTATTTTTCACTATTCGGCAGAATACCGAATACCTAAAAACAGGAGTGATAAATAACAAAAACACAGTAAATTAATTAATCATTTTGGTATTTAGATTTAATGTTATCGAGTTAGTGTTGTTTGTTTATATTTATTTATAACTTGTAACATGCAGAAAATAAAAAAGAAAATAATATTAGTCACATGTATTTACAATTTATAATTATAAAGATCAGCACACGTACACGCCTATCGTTGTAGAATCCTCGCACATATGAGGGTCTGACCCCAAGGACTTTAAACTACAAGGATAGCCAGATCCCGTATATTTGTTAGCGTGACCTTGGATCTATGTGACGTCACAGCAAGCCCTCTACTTCAACATGACAGATCTTTCAAATAACAAAATACAATAAAATATTAAATCATTTCTTAATTAATTATTAAATTACTACTAAATGTAAACTACTGTAGAATTTTCGGATTTAATAAGTGTACTGTACGTCAATAAATTTACAAGTCTTTTGTCTAATATTTATTTAACAAATTAATGAGCTATATTTTTTATTATGTGATTATCTTACTTAACTTTTTAATTTTTTTTCGACAATCACCATTTTCAGAAGGCATTCTTTTCAATATTTTATAGTTTTCTTGTTTAAGATTTCTATAATTAATTCTTATTATAGTTCTTAATTTACAAAAATCTTTTATTAAAGTAAAAGGTAAAACTGTTTCCACTGACTAATTCTGTACAACTCCGGGGCCTTTTTTATACGATTCATCGTGATATATTTCGAAATATTTATTCCATTCTATAATTTTTGCTAGCCATTCATCAGTAGGTTTAATAAGCCCTCCATAAGATAAATGTTGCACCCATGACGGAATGCTATAGTTGTAATGATTTTTAATTTTGTTAGTGGAATTAATTAAGTTTGGGTATTTTTCTTTATATTTATAGGCAAAATATCCTGCTATATACTCGAGAGCATCGTAGGAAGTTTCTTCAGAGATTGTGTTAAAGTCTAGATTGCATGTAGAGTTTCCTGAAGATTTATTTGAAGAAAAAGTAGTTTTACATTCAGTATATTGGTCTGTATTTTCACTTGATACTTCTACATGTGCTTTCTCTAAAACTTTGGGTATAATATATTCCTCTTGTCTTCGATCTGTAGTATTTACTTTTGACTCTAAAATACCAGGATTCTTACCTAAAATAATCAATCTAATCCTATATATAGCATTTAATGGGCTTGGATGTTCATTAGGACCCCGGCTTCTATTTTAAAAAAAAAAGTTTTCCAGACAATCTTGATTTAAATTGTGAGTGCAGATGTATTTTATATCAAAAGTCGATTTCATATCTTGAAAAAGATCAATTAGCGATTTCATTGAGATTATCATTCCTTTCTGGAAAATTTGGAGGGCATTTTTTCCACTTGCTCTCATTGTTGAGATTATTTTTATCATTTTATTTAAATGTTCTTCTTGTAATTCCAAGTCTACACCATATCCATTTTTGCTTGGAACAGAACCTTTTGGTGCATAGCTATTAAAAATGTCGAACCACATATTTATATCTCTAATATACGTTTCATTGATAATAATAATTGATTCATAATAAACGTTTCATTGATATTCACATTCAATTCTTTCCATAAACTTATGTTACTGCAACTACAGTCACTGACGCAAGCTACTGCATTATACGATAGTAAATAAAGTTCTGCTATTAATTTTAAAAGTATTTCTCTTGTCATTTTTTGATCAAACCCGATGTAAACAGGTTGTACTCAGCATTTTGTCCTTCACCTAACATAAAAATATAGCTTTAAATATTTAATGACATATTTAAATTATCTTACCTTATAAAAAAACTTAGTCAAATAAAACAATTACAGAAATATTAAAATAAATCACTTCGTTAATCACAAAATTGGACGAATATTAATCTCGAGAACGAAGTTAGATAGATGAAATAAGAGACCAGATATGGAAACGGTAGGGACAGAAGGCCCCGATTAATTATATACGAACTTCCTGCAAAAGCAGTTAAAATATAACCAGAACAACTATTGTTTCTATGTTAGGAAAATTATGATGTACGGGGACAAGCCACTACTAATTTGAGGTGGAGAGCATATATTTTAATTTAAATAAATAAATAAATATGATTAAAAATTGTAGTCCAGCATTGTGACCATGTCACAATAAATGCTTGTTTGCTTTACGTTTCATTGGATAAAGTTACAGTAATATCTGTCTAAAATAAAAGAAATTCTTTACTACGGAACGATTTTCTATGTTAAGTATTTCGCTACTCGCCGGAATGGTGCTAGAACAGACAACCTTCTCCGGATGATGTATACCGTGATGTGCCCAATGGCGACCTTCGGTGCTAACCTGCTGAAAGGCGCACCACACACTACTATTCAACGTATTGAAAAACCACTCCACACTGCCCTCCGTATTGCACTGGGCGTCCCGAAAACCACCCCAATCATCTCGCTATACACTGAAACGTCTTATATACCACTGTATCTCAGGCTCCGCCAAAAAGTGTTGGCAAGCGCCATCACCCACATCTCCAGGGGCACACACAGCCCACTGCACCCGCTTTTTCAAATGGCACATAGCTTNTTAATTTAAATAAATAAATAAATATGATTAAAAATTGTAGTCCAGCATTGTGACCATGTCACAATAAATGCTTGTTTGCTTTACGTTTCATTGGATAAAGTTACAGTAATATCTGTCTAAAATAAAAGAAATTCTTTACTACGGAACGATTTTCTATGTTAAGTATTTCGCTACTCGCCGGAATGGTGCTAGAACAGACAACCTTCTCCGGATGATGTATACCGTGATGTGCCCAATGGCGACCTTCGGTGCTAACCTGCTGAAAGGCGCACCACACACTACTATTCAACGTATTGAAAAACCACTCCACACTGCCCTCCGTATTGCACTGGGCGTCCCGAAAACCACCCCAATCATCTCGCTATACACTGAAACGTCTTATATACCACTGTATCTCAGGCTCCGCCAAAAAGTGTTGGCAAGCGCCATCACCCACATCTCCAGGGGCACACACAGCCCACTGCACCCGCTTTTTCAAATGGCACATAGCTTGGATTATTATCACTGGCGCCCGTATCAGAGACCGTATATACACAGAATAATATCCCTTATAAGTCAGGAGAGGCTCCCGATATCCCACCTATGCGCCTATATGCAGCCTATATGAAGTGAGGATAAACCTGGCCGCCCAACGTGGCCAGGTTTATCCTCACTTACGCCTAGAAGAGCTTACTCGATCTCCTTCAGAACCCCCGGAAATCACATGCGCACGATTCCAAGAGATGCAAATGTCAACCTGGCAGGGAAGGAACCTAATAGTGGCGGATGCCTCCAAGTCAAGGATCCGCACGTCGATAGGGATTGTCCTCCCGGACCACATCAGGAAGACCTGGCTGTTACATAATTCTTGCAGTGTATACGGGGCAGAAGCCCTGGGTATAAAATGAGCGCTACACCTAAGCTCAAGCCTAGACGGTCCGTCAGTAAGTCCGCCGTACAGGAGATAGGCAATATCTCCTTCTCGTCCCCGGCACTTCTTATCGACATCGCGGACAATATTAGTCAGCATCCCAAACCCATTGAAATCGGGTGGACCCCGGGCCACGTGGTAATTGATATCAACGAGGCGGCGGACAGAGCCGCGAGAACAGATACCCCTTCAGGCTCTTGGCGTGGGTCACTTATGGCCTGTGACTTAATCCGGGAGTATAGAGAAAAACAAAAAATAGTGATCACAGAATTGTGGTCAGAAAACTTGCGTAATAAAGGTCGAGACCACCTCAGACCCTTCGCCCCCTGGCCTTATAGGCACGCTACTTCTCGGAACACGAAGACCCTATTGGCCCGCCTTAGAACTGACACTGCCCCTCTTAACGGGTTCCTCTGTTCTAGAAACCTAAGAGCTTCACCAGACTGTCCACTATCCACATTGTGGTGCTCAGGAGACATCCAGACATTTTTGGCTGACATGCCCAAGATATACGGCAAGACAAGAATTCGGCTGTACTCTCAAGATCGATCTCGCAATCATCCAGACTGTAACACCCATATATTGGGCAAGAACAGACCTCTCACCTAGACAGCACGTGCAAGCCCTCGAACGTTACGTAGCTCGCACACATCGATTTGACTAATTGCGGACAAGAGTTCATCGGAGAAAGGGTGATCCAGCCAGAATCTCCATATTAGAGAAGAAAAGAAAGAAAGAAATCCGTGCAGTAGAACTTCAGAACGATGAACGAAATTTGATTTTAAAAAATCCCATAAAAAAACAATTAAGCGTTAATCGTGCATCCTTAATTAATTTAAAGGTTGATTAAAATCACGATAAAATTTTTTCGCGCGGGTAAAAATTCCTGATTTTATTTCGAGACTTAAAAAGCATCCAAAAAAAATTGTATATTTTTTCGAGGTCGAACAATACAGAAATCAGAAATTTGTTATGTAACTCTATGTAACTTGCTGGAGTAAAACTCGAACGTGTGGCGAAAGCGGGTGTAATTGGTGAAAACAATGACAATAAGTTAACACCGATTTGCCTTGAACGTAGTAACTAGTAGAAAATTCGAAAACAAGTTGGTAATTAGAGCTTGAAGTCAACAATTAGAGTATTAAAATTACCAGAGAACTGAGATTAAAGAGTAATTTTATTACAGTAATGAAATTAGAATTTCCGATGCAAGACTAGTTTTTTTTTGGTACTCAAATTGAATCGTTCGCTGGTATGGTCACAAAGATCTCATCCGAGAAATAGTATTCGAATACCTAGCACAAATTCTTCGGGACCAGAACTTTTAGCAATGGAACGGTTGTTCTTGCATTCAAACACTCCCATCTTTATATTACTGGAATCACTTTTGATTAAGCCTAGTAATAAAATTTTTTATGTAAGCGATTTTAGTATAAAAAAATGAACGTGACCTGATTTGTCTAACATTTATAAATTTAAAAAAATTACTAAAAGCTGTTTAAAAAGAAAGGAAAACCTACCAAGGTAGAAAAAGTATTTGGTGTTGTGCCATTCCACTTTACAGGTTTAACTGTATTCTCTTCTTTTCCTTGGGTTTGTTTTATCTTCTGACTATTCTTAACTGTATCTTTTGATTTATTTCTAAAACTGATGAAAGGATAATTCGATTCAGATGAAAAATACGAGTTTCTTGCGTTGTTAAAAACTCATTACTGTACTGTCAAGTACATTGCTGCTGTGAATTTTATAATGTTTGCAGAATGTATAGGAGAATTGTTTAAAGATTGTAGTTTTGAGTGGCAGGTAAGGAGTTTAAAATTCTCTCTTCAAACTGTCTACAGCACTTTCTATTCAAGAATTACATTTTTGGAAATAAAATTATTGTCAGATATTGAGTATGAGAAAAGTAGTGTGTTCTTATAAGTCAGAAGCTTATCATTATAATCATTTTATTTTATGTATAAATTTATACATACATTGAGCATGCCCCACTCAAACTACTAACACACTTCTGTTGTCATGAGAATTAAATAGAACCTAAAGCAAAACTGGGGGAAAATGATAAAAATTCACTGGGGCATCCATGCAGAATAGATATTAGTGCATAAATACTGATACATAAATAGTAAGAATCACTGAAACTAATGATTAAAAATAATAATAAAAATAAAATGTTTTAAAAGTAATATTTATTGCACAGTACATAAATAGTCTTCAATACATTGATACAATGAATTACAAGAATTGAACAAATTCAACCTAATATAGGCCTTATATTTCTCAATTTGATGAGTACACTTTACATTATTTACATTTTGTACAAAATGATAATATTCAATTATAATTTGAAGTCAAGAACTACAAATATTTGAATACATATATGTAATCTTTGTTTACAACTTGTAAATTTATCACTACATTTAGGTACATTTGAATATTACACAATTTTGGAATAACATTGAAATAATGAACAGTGACTAATAAACTAAAATTCAAAGCATGCCTAAATATATCCAGCAAAAATAACTTAATAATCAATTAATTTAAACTAAGCTCTTTTTTTATCATTAATATTACTATATTTTATTGAATTTTAAATAATAAATCTTCATCATTAACCTCAAATGCCTATTTTTGCACATAACTATTAATTTTAAATATTTTATGATTTATATAAGCTTATTACAGCTCATTCATTTACACCAGGTTTAGACTGAAATTTAATTAATTATTTAATTATATTAGAAATCAATCTCCTTAAATCCAACCAGCTATTTGGTTAATAAATTTACTTACTATTTATATTTAAACTGTAAAAGAAAAATAGATACTTTGATATTGATAAAAAAGTGTTCGTAAGTTTAAAAAAAACTTATTATATCATTGAGTAATTAAATTTTAATTTGCCTAACTCATTTTCAGAATGTATTTACTAATACTTACGATTATTATCTTAAATTTGCTGGATTTGTATTAGAATATGTTCTTTAGTTCATTGTACAAAATTTTCATTTAGGATGTTTTACAGGAAAATTGCATTTATATTATGAACGTATATACAGTATAACAAAATTTCTAATTCTTAAGTTGTTACAATTTTATTAATAAAACGAATATTGATATGAGCAGATTAGCATTCTGCACTTATTTATTCAATTTTAAACAAAATAATTCCCAAAGAAATATTTATTAATTGTATTAGTGCATTAAAATTTTAAATCATAATCATTCGTAAAAAAAGAAATCAGAAATTTGTTATTTGTAATTACAAATGTTTTTCAATGTCTTATTAAAAATAAATGCAAAACAAACAAATCTATATACCTATAATGAAATTTTCAAGTTAATAATTTTACTCCATATTCTATTGTTTTTGAAAGAATCATTTCATTTAGGTAGCTTCACTGACAAATATCAAATACAAAATTCTCAATTCAAAAAATCTCTCTAATGTAATTAGTAAGGTCAACATACACCTCAATAAAATGTTATACGTGAATGTAATATTTAATCAAATAAAATGGCTATATTTTAATAAAAAATATAACTATTTTTATTCTTTGACTTTTATATTTTCATGTATATCATTGTGCACAAGAATAGTGACACAACTCAAAAAAATAATTCTTTCAAAACTATTTTTTTGAGTTGTGATCTAATAGTTTTCAAATCTTTATTTCCAAAAAAGATTGAAAATTTTAAAAATCCAAGATCATGACAAAGCCTTGCAAAAATAAACGAAACTTTTAAATGGCTGTTTTGGAAGAACTATTTGTTTTGAGTTGTTTCACTATTCTTGTGCACCAATGATATAATCTATGGTTATAAATGTAACTATAAAATGGTTATATTTTTATATAAAATACAATCATTTTTTTTTGTCTCACCTGCTTTGTAGATTTCCGTCTGGAACACCAAGCTAAAAATAGAAATCCATAAGCAGTTTCAAATTAAAACAATAAAGCCTTTTTTTTCTTTTTTTTTTTAGATCCCTAATTAATATACCATACCATCTGTTGGTGCAAAGTCCCAATAGATTGGTTCGGCTTGATTCATCTGAAAAAGAAATATTCTTAACTACTATGTGTATTCAACTATTGCTACCATTATGTATATATTTTCAAATTATTACAATTATACCACAATATAATATTTACAATAATTTGAAAACCAAATTATACATTGTTTTCAACCTTTTCGTTACAATAATGACACAGTTCTAATGATACTTTTCTATTCCTTACATGTATACATATTGCACTAGTTTGTTTTTTCTGCTCAGTTTTTTCCTCAATGACATTTTGAGCATCATTACAATCTGCATTTAACTTTTGTTTTTTACATACTGTTAAGTTATTAGACGAATCTCCACTTTCTTTTCTCTTAACGGGAGAATTCCACTTTAATCCCGGAATAGTCTGAACTCCTTTTATCAAAATTCCAAGTTGTTCCGAATTTGCTATAACATTTTTTAAATATTCGACTTCTTTATGTAAATTCTTGATTTCTTCTCGTAACGTGGCATTCTCGGCCTTTAAGCTACCGATTTCGGAAGCAAAACTGACGCACGACTCTTCTAAATCTTTCAAGTACTTTTTCTTTTTTTCTCTATTTTCTCTAGCCGCTATAACATTCTTCGACATGCATCGACTGTTACCATCGTCAGAATCACTACTCTGCGATCCACTCGTCGACTTCCTGCGTTCTTCCTTATCCTTAAATTCCTTGGTACGCTTTATGCTTCGCGCGTCCCCGGTCATTTTTTTAATATCGACACCTGGTTTATTCAAAGGCATATACTTGGGAGGTAAAACTATTTTTAAAATTCTTTTAGCATTTGACCTTTCAAACTAGAAAAGAGGTCATTTATCATTTCCAGTGTTATAATTTCTATATAGTTTATAGTGACACAACTCAAAAAAATAGTTCTTCCAAAACTATTTTTTTGAGTTGTGATCTAATAGTTTTCAAATCTTTATTTCCAAAAAAGATTGAAAATTTTAAAAATCCAAGATCATGACAAAGCCTTGCAAAAATAAAAGAAACTTTTAAATGGCTGTTCTGGAAGAACTATTTTTTTTCAGTTGTGCCACTATTCTTGTGCACCAACGAAATATTCAAGACAAATTAGTCTAGAATTGATTAATTTTATGTAGAAAACCTTTCAAACAACCGTAATCCGTAAACTGCATACGTGCCGAGCTGTGATTGGCTGGACTTCTAGAAGCTGGATTCATAAAAACAGGAACNACGACTCTTCTAAATCTTTCAAGTACTTTTTCTTTTTTTCTCTATTTTCTCTAGCCGCTATAGCATTCTTCGACATGCATCGACCGTTACCATCGTCGGAATCATTACTCTGCGATCCACTCGTCGACTTCCTGCGTTCTTCCTTATCCTTAAATTCCTCGGTACGCTTTCTGCTTTGCGCGTTCCCGGTCATTTTTTTAATATCGACACCTGGTTTATTCAAAGGCATATACTTGGGAGGTGAAACTATTTTTAAAACTCTTTTAGCATTTGACCTTTCAAACTTCAAAGTATTAGAAGTACTTTTTTTTATTAATTTAACAACATAAGGCTTCCCGCCATTGTTATTTAGAGAAGTTGATGAAGTTTTTTCCACATTATTCTGGATGTTGGAATGATCAGAATTAAGCTCCAAATCATTTGCTGGAGTCGAAGAAAAGGAATTACAAAAATTTTGTTGAGATTTTGTTAATTCCAGTTGACTATCACCATTAAAACATGATGAAATAGGATCCAAAGCATTGTCATTATTAAAATCAGGTAAAACAGGATCCAAAATATCGCAAAAAAGAGGTTCCAACTGATTTGACAAAGAGCCAATATCTATATTTTCCAATTGACATAGTCTATTTATCCATTCTTCATTCGATACAAACGTAATCGCGTCCGACATTTTTATACCGAAGATTTTACTCTTATTTAGATACGTAAGTTTTTTATATTTTAACGAAACTTACCAAATACGTTAAAGCTTGAATGTCTAAATTCTTTTTATACAAAAAATTTGCTATCAATTACAACGAACATAAAAAGCAAGGGCTGACAAATCCTCAAAAACAAAGACGTACCGTACGAAGAGTCCCAGCGTTGCCAGATGTTTTTTGCCCTTGTAGCCAAATAATTTTTAAAAAGTAGCCCAAAAGTAGCCAACTGCTCGAACAGTTGGCTACTTTTGGGCTACTTTTGTACCAGGTGTTGTTCTACATAGTACTTTTGTACTAATCTAGTACCTTTTCACTTGTCCCAGTACCAAGATACCCAACACCATTTTCCTAGTACCGTTCATGAAACCCTAATACCTTTCCTTTCAAAACATTCATTTTTATTCTATATTTCTGTATTTTTTACTTTACTTTGACAGTAAACAGATGTTTTTATTGCTTCCTCATTCAAATGCAGCAGTTGAACGTATTTTTTTGCAATTAAATTTAATGAAAACTAAACTACAAAATCGAGTTCTTACAGCGATAAATGTTAAACTTGGAAATCATCATCTGCTTCAACCATACAAAAACATTCTAGTGAAAA